CTAGTCAGAAATTGGGCCGAATACAATCGCAACGAAACGCGATTTGTGATGCAGGTCGGTAGTTGGAGTGAGTAGAACAATACGATTTACATGTAGACAGATTCTCGGAGTCAATGGGTTCGTGCTAACAAGATTGAATCAGATAAACAATTTCTCTAATACCTTTCAATAAACAGATCCTGTGACTTGATACTTAACGTTCTGACTCTCACTTGCAAAAAACACGCAGTGTAATGTAACACTTTGGTACTTATGATGTTGCAGTGAGAATTCACACTCTAATCGATTTCGAATCGCATTGAAAACGTCGCGGAACATACTGAAACGACAATCCTGGTCTGTGTGGAGCTTTCGTTTCAAGTAATTTACACCTAAAAGGTTGTTGTTGCTGTTGTATGTCAAACCCTGAGGAATGGCATGATATACGTACGGAGGTTGCCAGAGCACATACTTCGAACTCTAGCCACTATACAGATGTATCAGGAATTATCGTACACCAGTCCCACTGTTGCAACCAATCGGTAGTTGACAGTTACAAATCACTAGCGCAGAGTAATTCTGCGTAGGGCCTGAACCCAGCACCTGGTGCACAGGTGCATACGCACAAACGTTCCCTCCGATCCATGCGAGGGCATGTGTGACTCTATGTGTTGAGTGCAACGTACATAGCAGTGAGATGTTCTAGGGACAGTCTAGTTGACATGATTGACACAGCCAATCAATAGTGCTTGGTTCCACTTGTGCGGAATTCTACGCTAATGATCAGAAATTTTTAACTACTGGTTGTCTGCAGCAGTTAGACTGAGAATTCGACTTGGGCCGATTGACAATTTGACGATTTTTTATAAGAGAATCCTTGATGCACCTGTGTATGTATGTGTGTTATATAGCTATATTGCTCAATGTGAAATCAACGCTTCCGGTTTGCAAACAGACTCCGAAGAGAGTACAAAGGTTCCTTCAGAAAGTTTCATCGGGAGACAATAAGCTTTGACACACAAGTTTGACGATTCAACACCTCGCTATTGATGACCAGTAGTGCTATTTCCAAAAGCAAAGAACTGTCGAAAGTGACTGACTGTAATGAACACCGGAAACACACTGTTTGACGACTCGAAAACGGTTTAACTATGCACATGAAGAATAATACTTTGCACATATGAGAAGTGATAACATACGGTTTGAGATTTTGAGTTGCAAAGGTAATTAGAAATGCGACAATGGAACTGTCTATCACTGAATCTAAGTGTCACTGGCATATTTCGAATGATGAAAGTGGAGCTTCGGTAAATACAAGAAACACTAGCTAACCTATTCACCAACACCACTAACCAAATGGATGGCAGCTTTCATATAAATTCATTCTTGACCGACGGTGCCTAGCCAGTGGCTTGACTCGACATCCTGCTCCATTCTGTTTTATATTACCCGGTTTCCGAGGCGGATCGTTCATAACGGCACCACATTGACGTTAAGTGATGGAGTCACACGTCGATTACAGAACTCGTTTTCTATTTGCCTGAAATTGAGGGTTCGTTTTCTGCATGTCACTCCATCACTGGACGTCAATCCGAGCACAGTAGGTATATGGAAAATAACCAGTGAGCACTGACAGATTTCATTTCAAAAAATGATTGAATATATCGGGGATAGGGATGCAATGCGTTTTGAAGGTCGTAATTAGGCCAGAATTTCATATTTACCGAGGGTCAGGTCAATTGATATCAAGTAGTTGCTGCAATCCCTCTAAAGTAGTGTACTGAGCTCTGCCTCTCTCCATCGCTTGCAACGTCATTGCGGATGAAAACATAACCAGAACAACAACAACAACAACAAATATGCACGATTGCATGAGCCCGATGACACAATACCATGATTGTACTAAAGCACACTTTTGTCTTACGCTTTTTCTTTCGTCTCCTAATTCGCAGCCAGTTGGTCGCCCACACTGCTTTCCCAAGATGAAATGCGCACTCTGAACAATATGACTTTCGAGTGTTGCATGCTGGACGAACGTTGTCAAATCGGGGGATTTGCCTTGTTCATCGATATGTCCTCGACCAGTATGGAACAGGCCACTCAGTGGGCTGAACTGAAGAGCGCCAAGAGTGTGTTCAAACTGCTTCAAGTAAGGGACTGAAGGAAACGGACCTATGTGATCGTTTCCCCTGATTATCTCGTTCGCAAACCAATTCATTAACATCGTAAAATGTTCCTCCAAGACAATGTAAAAAACCGTGTTTCCGAAGTAATTTTTTTCTCGATGTATATCGCATCAGGCGGTAAGATGTATATCTATACCAGGTGATCATAGTAATGATTTCTGATCACAGCTGATTACAGCTGAGTTTATTCCGGTGACAGAGGCAAGCGAGCGGAGTACAAGCGAACGAGACAGGGGCTAATGGTGTTCAATACTAGATTTGAGTTGCGCTCTTATTGGAGCTCATCAGTGAACACCTGATTAGTGGGAAGCCTTTGATTGGAGTTAACAGTTAGTCAACCATGTCTCCCTTTGTTAATTTCAGGCCAGCAATGAACTGACTGACTATTACTGACGACGACACCTGAATGAACACGTATTAGCAATCTGGTTCAGCCCTGGTGCGATCTGATCTGCATAGTGATAACATATACGCCTTGCATGTAATGGATGGATATGCACTACTGATGAGCTTTAATAAGAGCGAAACTCGACTCTAGTGCGTCCGAGTGTATGGTTGAATCGATGAACTGAAGATTTTGCGTGAGAATGAAGTCTGAAGGATGACCAGTTCTAATCAATCAATATTAATTATCCCGCACCACTACTAAGAAGTAACTGTGAAATGTATGATTTCAAACCATTTCGTATGCGAAGTCCTGATTTTCCAACTACTGATTTAACTTTCATTATTTCTTCTTCTTCAGGAAGCCTCCCCCGGGCGAGTGAAACATTTGATATTCTACAAAGAGTCCAAAGTGTTTGACGTTGCGTTTAAACTGATTGAGATGTGGATCAGCGATAAAATGCGTGAACGAGTAAGACCCTATTTCGACCACACGTATATACATATATACACGCATAATCCACAATTGGGGAAATAGAACAAGGAGTGACGAACAAGCTCGTTTTCAGTGATTCGTAGTCATGTCAAATACATCACAATAAATATTACACTGTTTATATATAAACCAATATTCAACGATAAAAACGTAAACAAATGTTTCGGGAAAGGGAAAATAACCTCATGGGTTATCTGGAGCGAAGTTCATCTTGGGACCGGATATGGAATTCTCAATGATCACATAATTGTTNCACGCAGGCAGTAGGCCATTTAGAGTATATGATCTGCGGAACTGAGTGCTGCTGGGTGAGTTTCTGAGTCGAGTATAGGACCGGATATGGAATTCTCAATGATCACATAATTGTTAATTCATCTGATCGTTGAAACCACTCGGAATATGGGGTGCTTGGGGGGTAGGCCGGGGGAGCTTAAGCGCCTGCACAAATTGTTTTTGGGCACACAGAGAGGGGTTGTGCAGCCGAATTCCTACCGCTTCCGCTGTGGCTAGCATACGACAGCTAACCT